CAATTATACAGTATTTAACACCAGGGAAGAATATCTGAAGTCTGTGACCAGGTAAATAACACACAAAATGTCAGGGTGCCACCTTTCCCTCCATGCATTTCCCTCTACTTTTGGGGGGAGGGGGGGGGGTCCATTTCCCCAGGAAGGTGACTTTTGCACAACCAGTTCATGTTCCTGTCTTTCCTGCATCCTACTGTAAACTCAGATTGACCTGGGATCATCTGACTGACCTAGATGGCCAGTGAGGGAGCGGTATGCTGTGGCACTGTTCTGGGATCACTCAGCAAAGCCCTGTTGTGGCTCCAGCTGTCTGTGCTACCTCCAGCTGCCTGCAGTGCCTGTGACAGGACTTCAGGGCCCTGTGCCTGGATTAGCGGTGGCTCACTGTTCCTAATCTGATCGCAAGTTCAGGGGCGCTCTCTGTTCACACCTCTTTGCATGCTTTTTGCCCCCTTGACTGCGGCTGCAGGAAGAAAGCGGGCCTATCATCCCAGCCACTCTGTGATCGTCTCAGTGTCCTTCTGTACTACTTCAGACCTTCATCCCAGCAACTCTATGATCATCTGAGCATCCTGGCAGACTTCAGTCAGTCCTGTTTGAACCGCGTATAGCCTGTGAAAGGGTATTGGCCACAGGGGGCAATGATATGAGGTGGGGGGCTTTTTGATAAATGTGGCCGAGGGATGTTGATGGCCTCTGAAGTTTACAGGCCTCCTGCATGTACAGGACCCCCCCCCCCCAGCTGATCAGTGCTGCTCACAGTCAGCACAGCAGGCAATGCCACAGCACATTGGTGCAGATTCTGACCACCTCTGTTCAAGGGCCCTTAAAGAAGAGTGTGTGCATATCTCTGTGAGCACGTCCATGTGTGTGTCATCATTTTGTTTTTTGTATTTTTACAGTATTATGTCCCAGTACAACCAGTTTGTCCCTGTAAGGATATAGAGCTTTCCCGTTCTGTGTGTTGGATAAAGGCTGTTTGGCTGCTTACTTTAATCCCCTTAATTTGGAGTCAGGGCTGCTCTGCCTTCACTCCACCGTAACATGCACTCAAGCTGATCCAGACAGACGCTGTATTTTCTAGCAAGCACATTGGCCACGTGGTCTGATTGGAGGGGGGGGGCGTCAGGTTCCCCAGACAGTCGCACCTGTTTCAACCTCAGGAAGCGTGAAGTGGTGAGGGTCCAAGCTGTAGATGTGGACATGGATGTGCAAAGTGGAGAGGGGATGAAAGAACAGCACTGGCAAATGGGCAAAGATGGCGGGGGTGAAGAAAGGAATGGTCAGAGCCATGGAGACCCCCCCTCCCCCAAAAGGTAGCCCTCTGAATGTCCCTCCTGGCTCATCCAGACCTTTAGCTGCTCTGTCTTCATCCATCATCCCTTAGCTGGTCTCTTCTCCATCCTGGAGATTCATGTTTTTGACTTGAGTAGCTCTCCTGTTAGGTTGGATGTCTCCTCCTCAGAAGATCAGGGTTCTGAGTGATCCCCTTGTTGCTTTGTTTGAAAGGTGTTTTGTAGATATTGCTCCTATAATGCTTACATTTATACCTGGACATTGATTAGAAGGCTCAGCCTAGCTACACTTATACCTAATTGACTTCCTGACAGCTGTATGTCTGTGATGTGCTATCTGCCTCATTTCTGTACAGGCGAATTTGTAGGTAAGTTGGAAAAATAATGCAGTACACAATAACAGTAATTATGCAATAACAATAAAAGTAACTGTAAACTGTACTGTATGTTGAGCCAACGAACCGCTGAAGCCTTACAATGTTTTCAGGGCCGTCACAAAGTACCGTTAACCCGAAATTTTTATGTAATTGGCTTTATGGCAGACCATTTGTAAGTACGAGTTGTCCATAAGCCGAACATCACTTTGGACAAAAGTGCCTGTTGTAGATGTGGATGTTATACTGGAGCCCACATCTCTCTCTCTCTCTCTCTCTCCCTCTCTCTCTCACACACACTCACACACACACACACACACACACACACACACACACACACACACACACACACACACAGGGGACTCTGTGGCAGTTCTTACTGTGGCCCACCTCTAAGCTGGTATGCTGATAGTCTCTCCTGAGGAATCAGATACAGGCTTATGGTTGGAACATGTCCTCCTCAGAAGATCAGGGTGATGAGCAGTACCCTTGTTCTCAGCGTCTGGGGGGTGGACACATGGTCGTGCTGATTCCTGGCGTTTTACTTTGACATTTTGGTGTAAAACAGTCTCATTATTGCATAGGGTCAAAGCGAGGCTTTGTCTGACACCCCCAGAGAGATGCTCCCATGATGTCTCCGAAGAACCAGCTAATTTTAGCTGCTCTGATGATGCCGCTCTGAAGTTGGCATGAATGTCATCGTGATGGCTGGGCATAAATGCTGGACTGTGTGTGAGGATCTCCCAGCATGTGTGTATGCCTCCATCAGTGTCTAGTAGTTGAGATGCTGTGATCAGATGTGTGTTAGTGCTGGGGAAAGCAACAGTACCCCCCACCCCATATATGACCAGCACTCCTGGCTTCAGAGCTGCTCGTAACATGAACACTCGTCCGCCAGCCGCGTTTGGAGTCTATGATGCCCCCCCCCCTTAGTATAGGACGGGTGTGAAAAACAAAATTCCTGCCCTGTTAGTCAGGAAGTTAATGGATTCCTCAAGAGTCCACTAACAGCTTCCCTGCGTCAGCATTTGCCTGTGCCTTCTTCATTTATCTCGCCTGCTGCCTGCAGGCTGCTTCATACTTACTATGGACACTATAGCGCACGCAACCATGCAACATCTTTTTCGTCACTTCGAGGGCTGCATGTGGGGATGCATGCCACTCACAGATTGAAACAATGCGGACGGTCCACTGCTGGGCTGCCGAGATGATATTGATGGTACTCGAACGAAACCGGCCCAAGACCCCCATCAGAAGAATGCCATGAAACCCTTTTTAGACGCATCCACGGAACGGGACATCTTTAAACGTCGGGACTGACGTTTACCTCGTTAACGATCCTGTTGAAAAGTATAACTGCAGGCTCATTCCTGCTCCTTCAGCCCTTAACTTCTAAACCACCTGCCGCATAAAACTAGTATCGACATAGTGTCCAGATGGCATGACTGTGTGCGGAGGGTAGGACCTTGGCAAGCAAAAAATGGTGAAATGGAGGGGCTAGAGGCAAGTTTCCATGACAATAATAACCCCCCTGTAGAGCAGCAGCACCCCTTTCCACCCTGTTGGTCGCACCATTCTTTGCTGTGTCCCCACACACACACGAATTGTGTGGGGAGTAGGAGACATCGCCCCGTCTAGTGCAGTGCACAGTGGGGGTGGGGGGTTCATGCATGGACACAATGTAGGGGAAGTGCAGCTCAGACTCAAGGTGTTTCCTGTGGCCTGGGCTCTGCACCCGCACACACAGGTCCATATGGATTCTTACTGTCTATTCAACGCCCTGTCATCCTAATGGTGAATCCACCTCCCATGTCGCCCCACCAGCCAATCAGCACATCCAGGCTTTTAAATACAACAGACCTTGTTCCAGCACTGTGCTCTCGTGGGGAGCAGGCACAACTCCATCTCCGGAAGCTTCTGTGACGCATCTGTTTGCCGGAACAGGTGGAGTGGGAGCAGCTGCTGGAAAGTCGGCCTTGCGCGCCTCCCCTCCTCCCCTTCTGGACGTGGGGGCCATGTTGCGTGTCGGGCCTCCTGCTGTTTTCTTTGGGGGGTTTCTGTGTTTCTGTGCAATGGTGAGGAAGGAGTCAAACACGTCTGTAGGGAGGGATACATTTGAATTCTGGTCTTAAACTTCTTGCGGAAGACTTTGAAGGGATAACCCTGAAGAGGGAGTAGTGTTTGAGAGATGAGGTGGATAGAAATCTCAGTCCATGGGTCACATTAGGTCATGAGTCACTCTTATAGCCAATGTACAAGCATTTCCTCACTGGTTTCCTGGCTGATGTGGAAGTGGGTTAGGCACCATGTCTTTGACCTGCGAAAAGGGGGTTAAACACTTCCTCAGCTGTGAGACTGGCCATTAGCTTATTAGATTTCGTCTTTTGCACTTAGTTACTAAATCATTGATTTGTTTCTTGGTTTATTTTAGGAAGAGATTTGTCACTTGAATTTTAAGTGGTTGTTAATCAGTTCTTTTAAGTTAAAGATGTATTAAAGCGTTAAGCTATTATTGGGAGCTTGGGTAATATTGACAGGAGGCAATCCTAGGCTGTTTGGTTAGAAGACAACCAGCTACTGTTTATCTGACTGTATTGGCACTGATGTGTAGCTGATAACCTGGATTGAGTTTGACCACTAAACAGAGTGAGGGATTGTCACGCGGTCTATTGGATGTCAAAAGATTCCGGGATTTTTTTGTGACTGTGGGGGCGAATGCTGTGCTCATGAGGAGCATGGGTGGTATGAAATGGAGAATAACACGCAAACACACATGCCTCTTCAGTGATGTCTTTAATTCCCAGTGGTTGTAGTTAACTGTGTTGGGTATGTTTGTTTTTATGACTGCTGGTGCATCACCTTTGGGCTCACTGTAGGGCATCACAGCCGGTGCTGTGAGGTTGAATCACCCCCAGGAGCTGCTGTATTTCCGGCTCTACAGCCAGCTTGTAAATTTAGTTTTTCAAGCACAGATTTATAGGACTTAAAGTTTTCGCTGATGGAAACAAGCTGAATCCTCTCAGTTTGGACACTGACGCACTATGAGTGTGCGAGTGAGTCAGTGTACGCTTACAGATGCCCATCAGGCGAAACCTGACACCTCGTGTCCCCCGTATGTCTGCAGATCTTGAGTAGGTTGAGTACTTTGCCGTCATCATTTCACACAAGTTAATTGCTTCTTAGCACATGCCCATCTTGGATGTTCAGGTTGCTGACTCTTCCCATGGTTCTGCTCCCTCTGATTGGCTGTTTGCCTTCTCCTCCTCTTCCCCATGGCCCTAAGCCTTCTCCTCTTTTGTGTGACCCTAAACCCTTTACTCCCCCTCCTCAGGGCTTGATGGAAAAAATGAAGAAGTTTAAGCGGCGGCTGTCCCTGACACTGCGCGGGAGCCAGACCATTGACGAGTCTCTGTCGGAGCTGGCTGAGCAGATGACCATCGAGGAGAGCAGCAGTAAGGACAACGGTGGGTGCTCCCCATCCTCCTATCCTCTCACCTTTGACCTCCACTTCAGTTGGCTGGCAGACCCCCCCCCCCCCATTCTATCTACAGGAACATGTTTGACCTTCTGGGTCCTGAGTGTCTGCCACAGAGACGGTTACATGACCCCCATGTTCGTCAGCAGGACCCCCAACAGCTGGCACTGATGCTGTAATGCAGCACAGATGTGCTCACTTCCCTCTTGTACTTACAGATGATGCGTGGGGGTGGAAACAACCCACATACCTTCAGGTTTCGGAATAAGATGAAATAAGGTTAAGATGTAACAGACACAATTTCATACTCTGCTCCATGATTTTCTAATAATGCCTCTACCCTAGTTTCTATGGTAACACCTCTGTTTCTGAGTGCCTGAGCCTGCATGGGGGTGTGGGGGGGGAGGTGGGCTCCCTGCCCTGTTTTCTCCCAAATCTTAGTCTGATGGCTTTCCATTATGCGCTGCATGCACAGACCCTAGGTGCTCCAGACCCCTGTTCTCCCCCTTGAGTGATGTGGCTGGTGCCCAGGGCTGTGTGGAGCTTTTCTGGAAGGATCCGTCCTCCTTTTCCTGCTGGCTTGGTTTACTTGGCCTGTCATTTGTGTGCCATAATGAGCGTTATGGTTGTAAGATTCTGCTGGTTTTTCGTCATGTGCCACACTGATTGCTCTGCTTTTCTCCCCCTCCGTTCTGTGTGTGTGTGTGTGTGTGTGTGCTTATGCTTGTGTGTGTGCGTGTCTCGCTCTCTTTCTCTCTCTCTCTCTCTCTCTCCTTCCCTCGCTCCCTCCCTTGTTTCTATGGTGAACCTTCCCCTTGTGTGGTACAATGCTGCAGTGTCAGCCTGGAAAAACTACTGGAAGTCTGAACCACAGATTTGTCCTAAGTGTGTATGTGTATGCAGAAGAAGTGTCCATGTGTGCTTGTGTGGTGTATGTGTGGTTGTCTGCATGTGTGTTTGTGGTGTTTGTGTGTTTGTTCGTTTGTGTAGTGTTTTATGTGGTGTTTGTGTAGGTGTGTGTGCCGGTGTGTGTGCACCTGTGTGTGTATGAGTACGTCTGTGTGTGCGGGCCCCTCCGCCAGTCTTGCCCCAATTGCCACCTGGCTCAGTGGAAATCAGGCCACAGCTAGGAATAGAATGCTTGGGTTACAGCAGGGGGCACCAGTGAGCCCCAGAGCAGGACTCCGACATTAGAAGGCAGATTAGCAGATTCCTTAAGCACAACAAGCGGCAGGGTGTCGCTTGGGGCTTTCGTGTCCTAAAGCTGCAGAAAGCCCGGCTGCACGTTGTGCTTTGGTTTGAATGAGATGTTTAGAAAATGGAACGAAGCAGCTTTGTCTGCCCCTTGTATGAATAGGCACTGCTACAGAGATGCGTGACGTCTATTTTCTGTGACCTTGGCATTCCTGCCCCCGGCTTCGTTAGGATCTCGAAGTGATCTCCGCCAGATGGTGCTCCATGCCCAAAGCTCTTGAGCTTCATCCTGGGCAGCTTGTGTATTCAACCCCGTAAAGTTGGATTTCTGAAGGTACACGGCTATCTGGCTGCCTCCATGTTCATGAAGAAACCTGCCTGCATCACAGGACTAGACGAAACGTTTGGGTGTTTGACTGATCCCGGTGATTTTCCTGTGTATCTCTTGGGTTAATGAAGGCCTTCGGGATTTCCGAGTGCCTTTGTTAATTAGTGGGGATAAGCCTCAATGAAACCTGAATCCCGCTGCAAGCATACAGGCCTATTAAAGTGGTCAGATTTCAAAGAAGCTGTGGCTTTTGTTCCACCTGACAGTTGCAGTGTTAAATAATGGCTGCAGCATTAGATCACCATGATCTGAAATGCAAGGCGGGCACAGGAATCGCTCACAGCACATGGACACATGCCCTTTGAGAATTCGTCTCCTGTGCCGGGGGAAACGTGTGGGGTGGCTGGACCTCTGTCTGAGTGACCCCGCAACTCCGTGTGGGTGTCTGACAGCTAGAGTGCACTGGGATGGTAATTACATGAAGAGAGCTGCAGAGCTAATGATGGGGTGTGGGGTCAGCTGACCGCCTTCAGCCACAGAGGGCAGTCAGCAGATAGAGACGTGGAAAGGCAGTAAAAATATTCACAGAAAACAGATGAAGGAAGATGCTTCTGCTTCAGGCAGCACTCATGTTTAGGGTAGAGGTAGAGTGTCGCTACAGGGGTCAGAGGTTTGATGCCATGACTTGTAGGGATGGTGCCATTGGATACTGAAAAATTATTGGCTATCGTGCTCGAGCCAGAGTTGCAACAAGGATGGGAATTTACTTTCAATGCGGGAGGAATCAGAGGATTTAGTGGTTGTCTCGCAGCTCCTGATTTTAACATCCTAGAGGCCATGGTGGTATTTGCAGAGGATGCTGAAGGTTTGCCTTGGGTTTGACTTCAGTAGGTCATTAGCTGTATGGAAGCGCCAGACACCCTGGTTATTCCTGCTGAGCATTTAGGGCTGTTCATAAGTTGACATCATTGTATACGTCAATTTTCTGTACTGTCGGTCCCAGAGGGATGAATGAAGAGAGAAACCTGATGACAGTTGGGTGAAAGATACTCTTGCTCCAACAAAGTCAGTAGCATATATTTACTAACAAATGTGCTGGGTAGAAAAAAGATTTATTTGATATTCTAAGATTAATTGTGGGGAAGATTGGAGTGCCCGTAGATTTTTAGAGACAATGCCAGGGATCAGTAGAATTTCCAATATTATTGTAATGTAACTGAACCTGCTCAATGAAATGTAGAACATAGGCTGTTCCATTATCCTCAGTCCTTTGGGTTTTCTGAAAGAGAAGCACTTTCACCATGTTCAGCTGAAGGTCATGATGTGCTGCCCAATCAGCATCAATTATTTGCAGTTAGCCAGTAGATAATCAAGTTCATGTTTACAGCTTCATTCTGCTGCTGAAAATGATAAACTTTCAGAGAGTACAGCAGGAATATCCAGCTGGGGCAGGCTGTGATTAATGTAGTGGGAAATAATAACCCCCCACCACCACCCCCTGGCCATGTGGGTTAGTTCTGCACACCTAGCAACAGCTGTGGAGGATCCTGAGCTGCTGAAAGGGCTCTGAGGGTCTCTGCGTGGCTGTGAAAGTACACTTTCTTCCCCTAAACTGAAGCGCATGTGGCATGTAGCCCCTTGGTGTGGCTCCAGTGGGCCAGTCAGACGGTTCTTTCTGAAACTCAGAATCCTCAGCATGTTCCACCCGGCGGGCCGCCGTGGGGACACGAACAACAGCTCCTTTGTGGCCGGGGGATTCAGTGTCACCCAGGGGAGGGTTGCCATGGTCTCGCTGAGTTCTTGAGTTGACCCCACGTGATGCTTCATCAGCGATTGCTGGTGCATCTCCAGTTGAACCCAGTGACCCCTGGTGAACCCCTTCCCAAGGCAGTGGTGAGCAGCCATCTGTAGGACAGTTATCAACAAGAGGATCAGGGCTCTCAGCATCTGAAGTACCTCCCTGAGTAGCTTTGTTAGTTTTTACACATCATACTTATTCTCTGCTTTTATCAAAAACACAAGCAATTTCTTTTTATGCTTGAAAGCTGGATATTTCATTTTTCCACTGGATAACGGAGATTTACTGCCTCATTCAGGGATATAAAAGCAGAACCTGAACCAGCAACTGTCAGGTTTATGTTGTAAAGAGTCCTGTCCATCTGATGACTGTGGTCTTATTCCATTTTGTAGCAAAACTCTAAGTCACCATGAAGCCTAATGGATGTGGAACCCAATGGGGAAATTTGGACCGATACCGGTAGCCAATATTTTTTCGTATAATATACACATTACCAGCTAACGTCTGAGCCACTTGCTGGGGTTGTGGTTTGGCTTTTGTGGGAAATGAAATCCTAATCTGTAGGTCACATTAAATTATGAATTATAAATATGTTTTTGGCTGGTAGACAATGTGGAAATGACCTGATCACCCAGTGTAATCATCTCCATTATTTTGTTAGTCGTGTCTTTAGCTCTGGTGCTGCTAACTTTGAATTTTGAGAGATTTTAGGCATCAGCCAAGACTGGTGCATCAGACCGATGGCGATTATCTTGATTTTTAACAAATGTCAGCCAATAGACAATAGACTGGAAATAGCCAGTCATGTCAGGGGTTTGGGTCACCATCTCTGTAGTGGCATACTCTTTCTGTGGGAAGGAAAATCCTTCCAGCTGGTGACCAACCCAGCTGTATGGATTTTTTCCATGTTTGACAGGGATTGGTTTACCAGAACTGCTGTGCAGGTGCAGGCACGTTCCGGGACAGCCTGCCAGGTATGTGCACAGCGCAGACGCCAGCGGCTGCATGGCAACTACCCCCCCACCCCTCCCCATTATGCACCTTTCCCGTCAACCCAGACTCTAGGCATCATTCTGAAACTTTCTGTCTTGGGGTGCATTCGGGGGCAGGTCTGTCGGTAACGTTGCTGCCTGTAGCCCCCCCCCAATCACACACTCGTGTCTCTGCACCTGTAGCCTAAGGCCTGACGAGCTTCCCTTTTCTGCATGCAAGATCCCAGCATAATCACCAGAATCAAAGGGCTTCCGGGCTTGGGGGGGGGGGGGGGGCGTCTTAAGTTACCCCCTTTTTTAATGAGCATTCCAGCACAGCGTTGGCACTTTGTTTTATTAGACCTCACTGTGTGACCGATGTACAACAGCGCCACCTAAAGGTACAAGCAGAGTCCTGTCTTATGTGATGTCACCTGAGTCATTTCTGAGTCATCGTTCCTGCCAATCCATGGAAGCAGGTGGACTGCAGGTGTTTACAGCCAGTCTGTAGTGCCTGTAGAGGACATCGGTATGCAGGGATGCTGGGGATGTGAAGCCTGTTTCAGCTTCCCGACTTCAACCCCCCCCCTTCCTCCCACTCCGTGAGCTGTATTAAACCAGGACAGGATTGAGGAGAAAGCAGATGGGAATTAAAAAGGCAGGAATATCACCCAGGACACAGATCCTCAGTGTGTTTAGGGACATTTTCTCCTATGTGATGTTCTCTCTCCTGATGCATTGATGTCTCCTGTTGCCTGCAAAGTTCTCTAATATTATATATTGTTTGGATGCTAAACTGTTTTTGTTCATGTGATTGACATCCCCGTCCACAGAGCCCATGGTGAGGAATGGCCGCCCCCCCACCTCCCACAGCATGCATTCTTTTCTGCACCAGTACACCGGATCCTTCCGGAAACCACCCCTGCGTCGCCCCCACAGCGTCATCGGGGGCAGCCTGGGCTCCTTCATGGCCATGCCACGCAATGGCAGCCGGCTGGGTGAGTACGAACGGAAGCGTAACCTGGGGTGTGGTTGCCTGGAGATGGCTCTATGCCAGGCCCTGCACCCTTTCAGCCGGCCATGCGGCGGACTTGCTTTCAGGTCTGACGGATGGGCAGGCCTGGTCTCGCCTTCCGCCCAGATCTGTCCCCTTTCTGACTGCATTGTCACTGTGGAGACTCATGTCTGGACATGTCTGCCTGGTGGCTGCCTCCTGGTTCCCAGATCACATGTTTAGTGGGTGGGGTGTGGAGGCTCTGCCTCTTTGTTCCTCAGACACACAGATCTCATCTCTGATGAGCCATTCTGTAGTTTTAAAGAGGTGACCTTCCCCTGTCAGATCTACTGTATGATTTAAGTTGAATATACTCATTGTTTCTGAGTGCAGTGGGAAATACTTCCTGACCTAGAGCATGCTGGGTAAGATAAAGGGTCTTCTCCACTCTGACAGTTACTAGCATCCTTCTAATTGAATCACGGAAGCTCATGACCCACTTTCTTTGGTGTTTTTAATGTGGGTCACAGTGTAGTGATGGTGTGTCTATCCCCTAATAGAAGCCTGAGCCACGAAGGAACGCAACCACTGTAAGCAGTGAGCATCTAATTACTGAAGCTGTGTGGCATTGTGTGGATCAGTGAGTTACGACTCTCAGTGCCTGTGATCAGAAGGTTACTGGTTCAAATCCCCAGGTTTGCAGAGTGACTTCACCATTGGGCCCTTGAGCAAGGCCCTTAACCTTGATTGTTTGTAAATTTCACATCACTTGGATAAAAGTGTCTTCAAAATAAATGTATTTAAACCCATGTCCTGCACTCTGACTGACTACTGGTAAGTTAGGGAGTTTAACTGCGTTCTCTGTGTCTGCCTGTGTGTTTGTTTCTGTAATGAAACCCAGGCCAGCTTCTCTGCAGGTGCTCTGTTTACTGCATCCACCCCCTTGTCAGTGCCCCCCAGGTCCATGGAGACCGTCTGACTGGCCCAAGAGCCACTGGCAGCCTGGCCCTTACTCACAGCCAGTTAACAGCATCGTTAACACTAACAACCTCCAGATATCCCCTCCCTGCCCCCCCCTCCGGGACTCATCCTCCCAGGCAGTGGCTTTATGACCGAGAGGGAAGCCCCAAAACCCCTCCTCTTCTTTAATGTTCTCCCCAGGGGGCCACACAGGCATTTTTTTTGGTAAGATGACAGGAAGTTGGAACATCAGCCATTCTCAGGGTACGTGGTACTGCTTCCTGCCCTCGCCTCCTGGTGGTGGAGGCGGGTTCTGCAATGATGGTACCTTTACACCTGTGTAGCTGTGCACAGGTCAGAGAGGGAGTGGATGGAGCTGCACCGGCCCCCAACCATCACCACTGTGCCCCTGCATTACGATTATCTTTAATGCCAGTTTTGCCCAATTTCTCCTGCCTGTCATGGGTTCCCAGATCCAAAGTGCAGGCTGGATGGGCGGTTTTTGTAAAGAGTTCTATAGAGACTATATTAAGCAAAAGGAAGTGATTTGTTGCTATGTCTTTGTGTCTTTTGGTACAGCTCACTGCAACATCCATTTAGTTGCCAGACTCTATTGGTAGACAATTACTTCTGTTTGGCTGTAGTTAATTTTGTGCAATATTCATGACAAAAAACACACATTGCAATGTTTTGCATCCCAAGTACTATGTGTTAGCTTCCCCTGTAGAGAGTGAGAGCCTGTCCCCATTGCTGAAGGTGTTCCCTCTTCATATAACTGAGCGTATTCACGGTTCATTAAGGTGAGATTGTTACATAGGTGTGTGTGTGTTTCTGTTAGCTCTAGGGAGTTTGCCTGCAAGGGCAGATGAATGGGGTCTTTCAGCCGAGCAAGCAGCTTATAGACCAGTTCAAACACACACATACACACACACACACACACGCACACACACGCACACACACACACACACACACACACACTCTGTCCCAGTGCTGATATAACCTCCCAGAAATCCCATTCACATCTGCCAGCAGCACTCATGAATAACTGATTGTGTCAACCGACTGCATCAGAACTGCAGTGGGGGGTGGGGGGGGGGGGGGTTGGGGTAAGTGGGGAAAAATATCCATTTCTAATCTCCAGCACCCCTGGTGGAGAACAGTGTACAGGAGGAGGATGTAGTGGGTGGTGGATGAGGGGACTTCCCCACAGCTACCACACTGTTCCAGTGACATTTTAATGTCCAGATGCTCCATTATAATTAAGTTGGCTTGTGTCATCTAACTAGAAACACGGTAAAAAGCCAAATGTTCCTATACCGTTCCTATGATGTTCCATCTTCAGCTCACAGCCCTTGCTTATCTACTGTGTTTGTGCACCCCCTCCAACAGACATAGTGCATGAGAACCTGAAGATTGGCTCAGATGGAGAGAGCGACCACGCGTCCGGGACGTCCTCCGATGAGGTGCAATCCCCCACAGGCGTGTGTCTCAGGAACCGGGTCCACCGCCGCATCTCCATGGAGGTAGGCGTGTGCATGTGCAGCCCCGTTCATGGCACACACACAGTCATGTTTCAGCCATCATTTCAACTTTGTCTGGGATCCATGATACTCTTTTTTTGCATATCTTTGATCTTTCTGGTTATGTTCTTGCTGTGTTGGTTGGGTATTTTACAGCTTTTGCTCCAGTGTTAACTTACACTAACCTTGCTGTACTTGTGCCTGGTTGGCTCCTTGGCAACTGTATGCTTGTGATGTAATATTTTTGGACCAAAGCATCTGCAGAACAAATACTTGTAGATTCTTTATCTGCTGGACATGGCCCCGCTTGTAGTCCAGCTTGTGCTCACTGGTTGTGTAGCATCTCTGTCCACTCTGACCTACTGACTAATCCTCTTGGGACAGGGCTGGGTAGCACAGGCAGAGTTTGGGTTTACAACCGCAGCGAGACACACCTAGAACAGGTGATCTGACCAGCAGGTACCATCTTATTGCATCTGAAGTTTATTTAAATGCAAGCCAGTTTTCCGCTGGTGGACTTTCTCATCGGTTACATCATCATCTCCACATAACTTATTCAACCAGCGCTCAGGAGAATATTTTTAGTCTGATTGTTGGTTTGTGTGATGCTCTGTAAATTCTTTATGAACGGAGAGAGGGTGTCTGACTCTTTGCCCCTGGGAGTCTGTGGCACATTGGGGATGTCCATCTAGTTGTATCCCGGCGTCTCCGGAATGGTCTTCAAAGTGTCTGCCCTCCGAGCCCCAGGGCCAAGAGCAAGTTCTTTCAATATGCCCAGCTGTGTTGCCACATTGTTGACCATCTCACCTGCTTTTGCAGGGGTATATGTGTGTGTGTGTGCGTGTGTGTGTGTATATATATATATATATATATATATATATATATATATATA